GACTGAAGGTGTTGCTGCTAAGTCTTAACTCCAAGAAGGCATTTTACTTACAGAATTTGCTACACTGAAGGAATAGCATTTACAGTCCATTTACAATGGACTGGTCCATAGCAAAATTATTTTCTGGTGTGGAATAGGAGATGAAGTGTTGGTTGAACTGATCCAATATTAAATGGAGTAACTTGAAGGGGAAAAATAAATATATAATAATAAAGCTTATAGAAATCCCCAATAGCTTTAATTTTTTTCCACTATCTCACCAGGGAATTATCATACTGAAGGAGGTATGTCTACACAGTATCTGTCCATGAGAGAGAGAGACAGTAAATATTTCACAGGATCAAGCACGAGTTTTCTTAATAAACAACTAGGAAATAAGCCCTCTGTATCAGGACTGTAATATATTACTTGATGCATTGATTTCCTGGAACAAATCTAAGACTAGCTATGTGGTCTTCCAAGTTACCTTGGGTTCACAAAACATGGAAGAACATACATTTGATTTCTGCTTAACTCAAAGTCTATTTTGTTTAACACATTCACAAAGTTAGATTCAAAATTATTAGAGGGTAACATGGAAACTCAACCTACCCTGATACCAGGGTCAGGAAGTCTGTCTATGCTGCAGATTCCAGGAGACAGGAAAACAGGGGGAACTGCTGCTTTATATACATGTAGTTTTAGGTGCTTTCCTAGTTCTTCTTGGTCACTGCCAGAAACTAAATGGTAGATGGGTCTTGAGTGGGAAACAGTGCAACCATTCTGATCTTGAATTAAAATTATTCTAAAATTCTCCTTTTCCTTTTCTGCATGTGGATGCTCTTTTTCCAAGGCGACTTGTTCCAACTGGAACAAAAATGCTCATTTTTAGAGAATAACAGTCCTAAAAATGTATATTTATGGTGATGACATGCCTATTTACAATAGACATCACACGACCTTATCAAGTCAGACTGCGTACACAACAAACTTGTACCACACACCCTAGAAACCCATTCCAAATGTAACTAGAAATGTCAATTGTTGGATTGTATGAAAGAAAATGTAGTTATGTACTCCTGACTGGATGTTACTAAAAAAACAAGGAAACTTCCTTCCTCTGAGAAGCAATTTACTGTCCATGAAAGAGAAAAGAAGGAGAATATTTGGCCTTATGTGGGATCATAAAAACAGTATCTCTATTGAACTCATTTTTAGTAACTAGCAATTAATTTTAATTCCTAGGTTCATCTTTTAAAGGTGTTCTGTGGATCCCTTATGAGAACTGACTAGCTAACAAATTTTTTTGTTACAAAATATTTCTGGTTTGTGAGAAATTATTTCCCACTGGTAACTACATATTTCTATGCTTCGCTTTTTGTCTGTGAGTTTTCAAAGAGCAATAATTAAGTTTTACCGAAAGTTTTCACGACATTTTGTACTGATCTACTATGGGAAATGAGAGTATAGGGAGAGGGCCCATGTATCAATACGTTGTTCTACTGTCTGAAATCTAGTGTGACAGCGTGACAGTTTCACTGGGTGGCAATGAAAGCTGGAATGATTTACTAGAAGTGAATTCATGTTGTGTAGGCAGAAGTCAAACCTGGCATACATACCATTAACACACATGAACATGAATCTGGGCTGCTTTGACTTGAGAAACCATAAGCCTTTGGCAGATAGAAATTGTATTGAATTATGGATCCTTTCTATGAAGAAGTCACAATCAAGTAATTCATTAACTTTACAAACAAGCCTAGAACCTTGTCCATAATTTGAATAATTAGGAAGGTCCATCTTCCTCTTTAAAAACATCACGCTTCCCAAGTTTATCAAGGCAAAATTGTCTATGAATCCTTAAGATGCAATACTAATCTGCCTAATGACACATGAAAATTATTATTTCCACACACTTTACCAACAGAACACTTACCCACTGTGGCAGAAGCTGATGACAGGAGAGACTTTCCCCAGGTACCCCAAGCTCCCCATCTACTTGCTTTAGATGAGGAGTCTGCAGCCTGTAAGAACAAAAATGTTACTCTACTGTCCAAAAATCTTTTTCTCAAATGGCAGGAGGAAACACAAAGAACCTATCAGGCAACAAAGTCTAGAGTTTAATAGATGACGACAGATTGGGTATTATGTGGAGTTCAAACTTTGTACCAAAAAAGCAGAAGCATAGTTCACATCATCTACTCCTGGAAGAGCCTTAAATTCCAGAGATGTCTTCACAGATGCCCCAGTATTTCTTCAGGAATCCAATCCTATAATGCCATACAAGTTCATTAGTACTAATATTAGGGAGAGGCAGGAACCTGTCTCCTTACTGGGTTGGATGCAGGAGCCAGAGTTGGAGGCTTGTCTACCAAAGTCTCCTCACATGTGTAATTCAGTAGATGTGCACAGGGAACTCCCAACAACTGAGTTCAATAAAAACACAGCCAGAGGAGGTGCTGCACACCTTTTACAGTAATGGGTAGTGTAAAGCAATTATTAGTATTCCACATTTAAGACATGTTAAGAAATTGTTGTCTCAAGAATGTCTCAAATAACATATCACCTCTACACAATGCAAGTTTTATTGCAACCAAACTTGAAAGACCAAATTAATACCATAACAGCAAAGTGAAATTAAACTACTCCTATTTTTCAAAAGCTTGATGTTGCAATTTAATTTATTCCTATGCAGTTTTTCTGCATAACTCCCAGGTTTTGGTGAAAAACAGTACATACGTTATACAAAATCTGTTCTTACAATGCAGGGAGAGGATGGCTTTTACAGAAAAGAAAGTTTTGCTTACTGGATTGCTTTGCTCATGTAGTGCTTCTTCCAATTCAGGTTCTGTATCAAGGCTTACAGTCTCAATGCACTCAGTGGGCATGTCTCCAGTTGTCTCTTCACTGGAAGCCAGGCTGGAAGGCAGACTTTCAACAAGTTTTTCATTTAAAGTGTTTTCATTAATTAACGTGTCTCCTTCCTCTCTATTACTGACATGCTG